CTCCATTGGAGTTTTAATCTTTGACACATTTCGACTCGTAATGTGTTTTTGGACATCTGAATCCAGGTGTGATTGTTAATACCTAGGGCTTCAAGGTCAGCAAGTCTTGATCAGGATGTCCAAGTGAATATTCTGAATCAGTGTGTGTCAGTCTCTTGTTTCGTAAGTATTGGTTTAAGAATTTGTCGCAGTGTGAACAAAGTTAGCACTTCTGTCCAAAATAAAAGCCTAAGTAGCAAATTAAAAGACAAAAGTCTAAATGAAGTTGTCTATAAAAGTTTATGAACCAATGCTCACGTATTTTATTTAAAAATCAAGTTCAAATTAAATTAAAATTTAGAGCTGGATGGTTCAGCGAAATTTGTTTGACTCTTAAACAAACAAAAACTCATTTCATGTGCATAGCACTTAAATTGAATACATATGAATTGATTTATTGTTACTAGTGGATACAATTAATTATTGATAAAAAGAATATTGGATACAATTATTGTACTAAGGAGTAGAAAATTAACATTATTACTTGTAGACATGTCTTTGTCACATGATAAATAAAGAATATGAAAGAACTTGAATTTCCAAAAAAACATTGCTAACAACATTAAACTTGTGTTCATCTTTATTCAAGTTATATAAGTTATTATTTTCATGATAGTGATCATTCAACAAAATAGCATCTAATATATGATTTCTTTGCATCTAACTCACGTCAGTAGTTTATAAAATTTGTAAACTACTACTTATATAATAGCTCAAATGACATAACATCTGATTTTATGTTCTCGTCTTGTCTGGTATGAGAAGTTTTAATGAACGGAATAAGCATAGTTAGGTCTAATTAGACATTTTCCCAAGCCAAGTTAGAGACATGTCAAGTCTTGGTTTTACCAACTAGGGCACAAAATTAAACTCTATAGTTAAGATCATGATATTGTTTAGGCAGTATAAATCTTTTTACTTTCACTTTCACTTTCACCAACCTGCCCAAAAGTCATTGCCGACTTGCACTACATGTAGGATTAACCAATTAGTCCTGCCAAGCGTCAAGTTAATCATGTAGGAATTAGGGTGATGCTTTGAGGTTTTGCATGCAGGTTTGGCACCTCGATGTCGGCTCTTCGCCACTGAGGCTTGTAGTACGTCCAAGGGTTGGGCTGTTCACCCATTAAAGTTGTATGTGAGCTGGATGGTCATATCTGATATGGGTGTTATAGCACTGTGAGTACAATTTTTGGAGAAAAATAGGATGGGATAAGATAAAGGATATCGAAAAGGGAGAAAAAGTTGTTGCCTTGGCCTTTTGATAACGTTTCTATTCCCTTTAAAGAATCAACAGGAAATTGAAGGTCGACTGAGATACTATCATTTTTCCTCTCCTTTGTAGATAAAATTTGTTAATAATATTAACTAATTAAAGCTTTCTAATCACAACTTAAAACATAAAGTTTAATTGCTGAAAAAAAGGGTATTGTTAGTATTTTGATGCCAGCGCTAATCTACCTATTTTACATTACAATTGTCTAAAATATCGAAACAGACTGTTTTAGTTAACTTAATTAGTATATTTTTTTATTTGACAAAAAAAAAAAACTAGTATATTTTATTAATTAACATTTTTAATATTACTAATCTCTACTAAATAATGAAACCCTCATTGTCAACCAAAAGATGGTGAAAAAACAATTTAGTATTCTATCACACAAAAAAATGATGAGCAATAATGTAATTTTATAGATCCAAATTTTACTTTTTTTATTGAAACCTCACTTATATGTGATGTTAAAATACATCTAATATTAAAAAAATAAAAAAATAATAATAAAAACCAAAAACCTCTCATTCCCCCACGTTCTCTCTCTCCCCCTCTCTCCTTCTCATTTTCTAAACAAATATGTTTCTACATACAAAGTATACAAAGTGTGTAGGTAAATGCTAATAAATATTTAAAAATGCTCTTTTTCTAAAAACAAAAAAATAAAAATGCTCTTAAATTCTTAATATGGGATTTCATTGGCATAACAAAGGGGATTGGAAAGTGAGTGTATGGGTTTTGTGTCCCCTCAACCACCTCAACTATGCTTTTCTGATTTGAAAATTTAAAAGTAACACTTGATAATAAACACAAACAAACACATAGTGACACTTTCACATTTGCTGCTTGGGGTTGGGGGGTTCAACGGCACAGTGACGCGGACTCTGTACCGACCACCTATGCGGTCTGCGATAAGAGAGACTTTTCAATGTTAGAGATACAGTTTCGTACATTAAGTGTATAATTAATTAGAAACTTGAAGAAAAAAAAATCTAACTAATTGTATTATGACATTTATTGTACCGCACCGTATTACTAGCACACTAAAAAATCTCTTCTACGATGAAGATTTAACGATGGGATCCATTTGAATATTCACCCCTACAATCCAATTGGCAGACTGTGTTATCGCTTGCGGTCATTATTCTGAATATTACCTTCAAAAATAATTCTATATAAATTTGGTAATTAAGAACTAAATTCTCATGTAATATAATAAGAGTGAACGATATAGTATTAGAGAGGGCGTTGAGGGAAAGCGAAAGGTGCAGTCGTATGGGTCCTAAATTTTTGTCATCTAACATCATGTAACAATGTTCTATATTTTAAAAAATTGTTTTTGTTAACACTTTAAAACCGTATTGTGCATTCCTTATTAGATATTTTTTTTTCTTTCTAAATATAAAAACTTGGAGTACAATGAGATATTTTGAGTGTCTAATGACACCCTTAAAAATGAAAGTTTCTTAATTTTATTATATAATAACATGATGTATTCGAGTAAAACTTTAAAGTTATAGGTTTGAAGTTTTTTTTTCTTTTCATGTTTGATTGTTTAAGATAAAATTGCTTTTGATTATTTAGTGAATGTTATGTTTGTAGATCTTTTTACTTATCATTAATGACACTTGTAAACATGTGCTAAGTTTTTTTTATTTTTTATTTTTTTAACAAACGAATATTATATACACTAAGGAGGTGGGGGAGTGGGACTAAGCCTCACAATAAGCTAACAATAATGTGGTTCAAATTCATCTTTGATGATAATTGAACCTAAGACCTCTCACTTCGAAGTGAAGAGAATATCACTAGACCGTAGTACTAAATGATTTTGTTTTGATTTAAGTGAATGTTTTCTAGTATCAATATATTGTCATACTTTTATTAATACTTAGAACAATCTAAAGGAGGACCCTTTTATAAATTTTGTATAGGGTCCTCAAAATCTTAGAGACGATCATAAGTATATATCATATTTTTATGATATATTAATAAAAATACAAATTTACGTGTTATAATTTTAAAAAATAATAATAATATCACGTGACCATGTTCTTCGTACGCACCAAATCTAAAACCTCGAGTGCAGGACTAAAAATTCGTAACCATATAAATTACAGTTGAGTCCCATTATAAGTTAGTGGTGCATGCTTGTAGCTAGGCCCTTGGGATTCAATCCAAGCCATGTGTGTTGCAAGATGAGTAGGCCCTGGGTTCAGACAATAAATGATGGTTAATTGCCGGGTTCCTTCCCAGTTTTTGGTGTTGGTCACGTCCAAATCTATAGAAATCCATGGTTTAGATGCTTAAAGTTTATGGTTATGAGGCGGAGGGAGTATCTAAACACGAGACTTAAAAATTCTCTGTGCATTATGTTAGTTTTTAACGCCACATTATTAAGGACATTAACAAATAGTTTGGACGTCCATTCCATTCCACCGGCGTCCTAGACATTTTTTACTCTCATTACTATGATTAATCTAAATGCCAAGTCGTTGTAAATGGGCTTAGCAAATCCGAAAGTCATGGCTTTTTTTGAGACCAAAAGAGTGGGAATGAAGGGAACTAGAAGCAAAGTCTAGTAGTTCTAATAACTAATAACCAAAAGAGTGGAAAGCACATGCCATTTTATTACAAATGTCACAAAAGGAGTAGGATGACTAACTTTCGCTCTCTTGCTATTATAATTTATATCTACTGGTATATGGTGGAAAGATAATTGAGGGCCTGTTTGCTAGGCGAGAGAGAATTGAACTTTAGGGATAAGATTGGATTGGCAGGGATGTATAAGACATGACTTGTAGTTTATGTACAAAAATAGGTTAGTTTACCCACTTTATTGTGGATTCATAAGCCATCATGTCCAGTCAGATCCCTCTCACATTTTGACACAACAAACAACGAACTTGACTCAAATCCATTTTAATTGCTCACAACATATTCTATCCGGCCCACCAAATAGCCCTTGAGTGCATCCGAAGATAAATTTTTATTATATCTATTATCGACAATAGACTTATTTTTTATATTTTACAAGGGGAGGTGAGAATCGAATCGAAGATGTTGAGGACGAAGACGAATGTTCCTAACCCTTAATCTATACGCTTTTTGTCTTCTAAGAGTTGAATCATATAATCTTTAAAATAAATATTTTTTTTTACTAAAAATAATAGATTTCTGACTTTTCAAACGCTCTTAATATGTCTAAAATAAGCAGTATGAATAAAAAAAAAAACTAATGAGAAAGGCTTGAAAACTTTGAATTTTAATCAAAACGACAAAAATGTGTTGTAAGTGAATAGTACCAAGAGTGACTTTTTAGAGTAAAAATGTTTTTAATGTTAAAAGTGAATAATATCAGGAGTATTTCGTTAAGACTCTCTAAAAAACATGAGTAGTAACAGACTGTGGAATAAACTTGTAGCTTAACTGATTAAATTACACTCAAGATCACATAAAATTTGCTCTGACAAATAGTGAAGCCCAATTTAGGCTTAAAAAACATTGAGGCCCAATTATTTCTACATATCGATGGCCCATTTGCCTTCGTTTGGCAAAAAAGAATTTCCATGACCGAAACGCTGCGTCCTGACTAGAGTAATGTGGCCAAAAAATAGAATTTCTATGATCTATGACCAAAAAATAAACAAATGTTTGTAATATGGGTTGCTTTCGAACATTAAACTTTTTAAAATTACGTTAACGTTGATGCACCAACATTGCCACTCTTTAGCTCATAACCGTTTTTTCTGTTTATTCTACATTCCTCCCTCTGTCTCTCTCTCCCTCAGATTTAATCTGCTCACCTAAAAAAACCAGATCAAATATCGTTGATCTGAGATCCAATACCTTCCGCCTTCCTAACCCACATTTTCAATTTCCGATCATTTGATCCATCACTCTGATTCGACCCCAGATAATCAATGGCCAGATTGGAGAGCTTGATCGGGCTGGTCAATCGCATCCAGCGAGCCTGCACCGTTCTCGGCGATCATGGCGGCGAGGGCATGTCGCTCTGGGAAGCCCTTCCGACGGTCGCCGTTGTCGGAGGCCAGGTCTCTTACTCTGCCTCCACTCGACCCCATTCATTTTATTTTTTATTTTTCATCTTAAAATATAAAAAATCGCTCGGGTTTCGGATTTTCCAGTGCTGTAATGTACATTTTTTTTTTTTTTTTTTTTGGGAAATTAGAGTTCCGGAAAATCGTCGGTTTTGGAAAGCGTCGTTGGGAGAGATTTCTTGCCTCGTGGCTCCGGTATGAACAAAGTTTGCTGTCAATGTGTTTTTTTTTTTTTTCCTTCCTTCTTTGGTTGTGTTTGTTGTTAATTGGAATATTAAAAGAATGCGAGATGTAAATGTGGGTTAAACTTGTTCTGCTTAGTAAAGAATTTGAAGCTGATTTCCAGCAAAGCTACATAATTTGAGGCTATCATTTCATGCGTCCCGAATTTGGTATAATCTAATTAGCGTGGTTGGCGTTATATGATTCATACAGCTGACTCACTTAGTGGGATAAGGCTTGGTTGTTGTTGTTGCTGGCTAAGCAGCGTGGTGATCGTTATTTTAATTGCTATTCTTAGTTAGAGTGACCCCCATCATTTTCCGTTGATCAAATATGCCCTTTTGCATTTGTAGTTTCATGTTGCAAAATTATGCATTACTTCTTACATTATATTTCTTTGGTCGCAAGGTATTGTGACGAGGAGACCATTAGTGTTGCAACTTCATAAGATAGACGAGGGACGGTCTGAATATGCAGAGTTTCTTCATTGTTCTAAGAAGAAATTCACTGATTTTGGTATGTCAGCTTTGAATGCGAGGTTCATTTTCTCTTGGGCTGATGTAAAGCTGAATTGTTCGAGCTTATGATTATTCAACTTAAGTGTGCAACGGTTTTATTTCTCTTTAGTTCTTACGCCAAACACTGAGTTGTACACTGTTTGCTTTTGCAGCTTCTGTACGTAAGGAGATATCGGATGAGACTGATCGTATAACTGGGAAGACAAAACACATCTCTAACATTCCAATTCATCTCAGCATATATTCTCCAAATGGTATGTATTCAATTTCCTGTGAACATCATAGATTTGAATGTCATATATTTAATTTCCTTCTGAATCATTATTTTATTTGCATACTAATCAATTTTCATCTTAAAGGAATATACAACTCGTTGGATTACATGTTATTAATATTATTGGATAGTAACGCAAACCACAAGCTAGGCTTTCCTACGAAGGTTCTATTATATAAACTGAAAATTCTCTTCCTTATGTAGAAGATAAGAATGTGGTAGAGTCGAAAGCTGGAATTTCAATATATTGCTTATAGTTACGAAGCATTCTCCCTTTTTCATCAACTGCTTGTCCTGATTCCAGATATACTCCATATTCCTGTTGTTGATTGATATTGTTAACATTACTGCTTGGTTTGAATTGCATGGTACTGAGTGTATTTTTGTGGCAGTTGTAAACTTAACCCTTATCGATCTTCCTGGATTGACAAAGGTGGCTGTAGGTAATCTTTCTCTCCTCCTATAGCTATCTCTCTCTCCATCCCCCCAGTTTGGTAAGACCTTACTGACAAATTATCTAGGGATTTTGTAGAGGGACAACCAGACACCATTGTTGAGGATATTGAGAATATGGTCCGTTCTTATGTTGAGAAGGTGAGGATACTTCAAATTTGGTTTGCTGGATCAAGTAATAATTTTTCTTTTATTAATACTGCAGTCAATCTAATGGACTTCTCTGATTTGTAGCCTAACTGCATTATATTGGCTATATCTCCTGCTAATCAAGATATTGCCACTTCAGATGCCATCAAACTTGCAAGAGAAGTCGACCCTTCAGGTAATATGACCTATGGAGAGGCAACAATACATTTCTCACCTTAATTCATTGTTCATCAAAAGGATGACCGGTCTACAAGTGAAAAGAACTTACTCTTTTTTATTATGTTTGACATTTTTAGGTGAAAGAACATTTGGAGTGCTAACAAAACTTGATCTGATGGACAAGGGAACCAATGCTCTGGATGTAAGGATCCAATCATACTCATTGCATAACTTGATCAGAAAATAGAAGTTACTTGATTATGGAAATGAAGTATTTTGACTTTCATGTGTTCATGGTTGTTACCTTTTGGTTTTTTCATGAATATATAAGTGCAATGTAATCAAGATTCACTTACTTCCGGTGGTGGCCAAAACATCAAACTAATCAGCACTCTATGAATGTTTAAGGTTATAGAAGGAAGGTCATATAGACTGCAACACCCATGGGTAGGAATTGTGAATCGTTCACAAGCTGATATCAATAAGAACGTTGATATGATTGCTGCTCGTCGTAAGGAGCAAGAATACTTTGAAACTAGTCCTGAATATGGGCACTTGGCGCACAAAATGGGTTCAGAGTATCTTGCCAAACTTTTGTCTAAGGTATTAACTTTTAAATATTTGTCTTCACTTGGTTGATATGTTCACGTAATAACCTATGGAAATAATTGTTTCATTTCATCTTCTTATCAGCATTTGGAGGTTGTCATTAGGCAACGGATACCTAGCATCATTGCTTTGATAAACAAGACAATTGATGAGCTTAATGCAGAGCTGGATCGTATTGGCAGGCCAATTGGTGTAGATTCAGGGGTAACAATGCTGACCTTGTGCAGTCAAGTTTTCTTGTTTATGATAGGTTTGACTTACCTGTGCTATTATTATATGTACAGGCCCAGCTGTACACTATTTTAGAATTATGTCGTGCATTTGACTGTGTATTTAAGGAACACCTGGATGGAGGGTAAATTTCATGACCTTTATGTGACATGTATTGGCCTGTTTAAGTTAAATTTCAATATTATCTGATTTTCCATGTTGAGAATATGTATGATTTAAATTTTAATTGATCATATTATTAGGGTTGCTCTTCTGAGAGCATGTGTCCTTGATTCATTGATTGAGTTTTTGAACAAAATGCCTAGACCCTAGAGATATAGAAAAAAAATGGTTACTGTTGTTCTATGAAGGAACATGTCATCAGGTTTAAGCTGTATAATACATATCTGTCCAGTACTTCACAAGAGTAGAGGTTACCTTAAAACTTAAAAGTTGAGCACTTTACTCGTTGTTTGTTCAGAATATTATCACATACTTTAAATTGACTCCAGGCTAGGACGCTGCATAATGTTAGAACTTCTGATTTGAGTCATTTGACTGGTTTGGCTCTTCATTTCATGGAAAACATAGAACACCCAAAAGATTTAGGCTTCATTAGACGTGTTTGGTAGTTTTACCCTCTGGTGGCAGGCCATTTATTTACAAGTTGTGAAGTTGTGAACATGGATAAAGAAAGCCCTTGAGAGAGATACTTGTACTTGCTCATAATCTGAATATCATGAAGTTATGAACTTATGATGAGTTCCAAATTTGATTAGAGACATTTCTATCGTAGTGCAATTTTGATAATTGCAAATAAGTATATCAATCATTTCCTAATATATGCATATAGTTTAATGATAAGTTGCTATTTCAGGCGGCCTGGTGGAGATCGTATATATAAAGTTTTTGACCATCAATTACCAGCTGCTTTGAAAAAGCTTCCCCTTGATCGTCATCTCTCTATAAAGAATGTCCAAAAAGTTGTTACTGAGGCTGATGGTTATCAGCCCCATTTGATTGCTCCAGAACAAGGATACCGAAGACTCATTGATGGATCTATTATCTATTTCAAAGGACCAGCTGAAGCCTCTGTAGATGCAGTAGTGCTCTTATTCCTTTCACATTCTATATGTGATTCTGAACTCAAAGTTACAACACATGGAATACACAGTTTACCAAAGATAAACTGTGTTAATTTTATCGTAGATAATATGGATATGCATATAAAAGATATACTGTGTTAATTTTCTGGACTCGGGTTGTCTAAATTTTCTGTCCATATATTGGGAATGGTGCATTTCTATGCTTGCTTTGTATAAGTTTTCTTTTGGTCCAAATCATTACTGTATATTTATCTGAATTTTCTTTTCACTACATTAATTTCTCACAGGTGCACTTTGTTTTGAAAGAACTTGTACGGAAGTCAATAGCTGAAACCGAGGTAAGTAAAATTTCATGAGATTTAGCAGTTTATGGCAACAATCAATGTGTACGCAGATCAAAGTTTTAATAACCCAACTTTATGGAATTTGCAGGAATTGAAGCGATTCCCTACACTTCAGTCTGATATAGCAGCAGCTTCCACGGAAGCGTTGGAAAGGTTTCGTGATGAAAGCAGGAAAACTGTTACACGACTGGTGGAAATGGAATCTAGCTATCTAACAGTGGAATTTTTTAGAAAGCTTAATTCAGAACCAGAAAGAACTCCAGGTCAAGCAGGATCAAGGCAGATAAACACTCAAAAGAGAGAGAAACAGTACAAAATATGGACACTTTCGGAGATAATTATCTCAGGAGGATTGGTATGCAAAATTCAAAACCCATTCACTGTATCTTATTGTAGGCGTGATCGCTGGTTCAGTGTTTCATTAAGTTGTTGTTTTATGCTGAGATATTATGTACTTGTACCAGCATCAAATGTCAGCTCTTACATCAATATGGTTTGTGAGACACTGAGGCTTTCGATTCCAAAGGCTGTTGTTCACTGTCAAGTTCGAGAGGCCAAGAGAAATCTGCTCAACCATTTTTATGCCCAAATTGGAAGGCAAGAGGTGAGCCTCGCACTTTTCAAAGCCAGTTCATTTTGATGATTCCGGTGTGGTAAAGTAGTTTTGAAGAACTGAGGATACTAACCATATTTTCCTTTGCCTGGGGAATGTGCAGAAGGAGAGGCTTGGTGCAATGTTGGATGAGGATCCGGCACTCATGGAAAGGCGAACAAACATTGCTAAACGCCTTGAACTCTACAAGTCTGCTAGAGATGAGATCGATTCTGTCGCATGGAAATGATGGAGCCACATTACATTGCATGAGGCTTGTACCAGATCGAGTTATCTTTTATACAACTCACGACAACGCAGACATCACAGAATATGAGCCTGCATATTCTTCTTTCTACTTGAAACGAGAAAAGCTCACAGGTAGTGCAAGCTCTTAGATTTGAACTTGCACATGATTATTTTCCCCAGGCTTTTTCTTTGTTGGACATAACTTCAACACACTGTATAATGATACAACTCTTTCGCAACAGTTTTCGTTCCTCTGTCAAATGGTCATCCGATTCATACTTGCACAAGAATTCATCGCAAAATGAACAATTAATCTGTCATTTCCTTAAAATGAGTGGACAAGATTATACGATTTCGATCTTAATCCAAGCAACTGCATATATCTCCAAAGGAAAAAGCTAGACTTCCGTCCACTTCAACAATTTGGCAACCAGTAGGGTTAGTTGGAAGTGGGATGGCTCTGAATCTCTCGTCTCCAAAATCAGATGCCACTAACTGGTAAAAACCCAGACGATGATGGGGGTCAACCGACCCCGTGTGACCTCTTGTGGAGCTGTCACGGACTATAATGTCCATGCGTTTCGATTTCAAAACTCTCATATTTTCTATATTAATATAATCCATTTTGAAACTCCCATCCTCTCATAATAATAATTCTTAAGAAGCCAATATTGGTTGAGTTATATATGAGTTCATATAATTGGTCAGATTCGGTTTCTAAATTGGCGCTGGTTCAAGCCAAATCTTCCAAAACAGACTTTCCAATTTTTTTCAAATTTATCCGGGCCGGCGCATTGGTTCATCGGTTTAATTTCAAGACGCCAAAGTCTCATAATAACATGTATAAATCTTCAGTAGTTCTGACTATTGGATAATCGGTTTTTATATCCATTAGATTGAAGTAATTAAAAATATTATTCTTTCAATTGAGTAGGCCAAACTATTGAAGAAAATATGTAATAACAATAGCAAAACACGATGAGTTACATAGAAAAAAAGCGAGATTGAAGTCAAGTTTTAAGAGGCATTACAAAAAATACGCCTAAAGTCAAATTGGGAGTTGTAAGTTGGGGGGTAGAGTAGTGCTCTTAAACTCTTCCCAGGTGAGGCCTTTCTGCAAGTATTCAATATTAGAAGGGTCGAAAGGTCCTTTCACCCTGTCTATAGACTTGATCACTGCCCTTGCTGGAAGAATGCTCTTCGATGGGTCCGGTGATGTCCCATAACTCAAGCTCGAAGAGAATCCCTGAAACAATAACAATATTACATGCAAATATTACTCTTCAATCTCAAGTGAAATAAGAGCTGTTTGAAAGTGCTTTTTAGAACAGCTAAAACCGCTTTCAAAACACGTAGCTAGCAACAGACCTTGAAGATAAGCACTTCTACATCCTGGTCATCCACCACTGCATGCACGATAAGTGCTTCTCCTCTCACACTCTGACTGTATAATTCCAACACTGCTATCTCCTTATTGTGTCCGTACTCGACGTCCTCGTCGTCATCCTTGTCATCGTCGTATCTGAGCACTCTCCGCCTTGCGCCGCATCGAGTGCTCAAGCCCCTTGGTCCAAAGGCATTCACGTTGAAGGCTGAGGCAGAGCATGTACTGAAATATCTGGTAGCTGCAGATTCAGAGGAGGAGGAGGTGATGGTGGTTGCATTTGGAGAAAACGGTGATTTGGGTGGGGAGGAGACCAGCACAGTCCATCTTCCCAGTTGGAAATGCTTCAACATAATAATGTGGATTTCCAAGTGTGAGTGCACAAGCAGAAGAGTGTCACAAAAACTTGTGGATACAACAATTTTGTTCTTGAAGATAAGGTGTGGGTCACAGCGGTGGGAAAATTTAAGTAGAGTTGTGCGACCATATTATCTGTAAGCATTTCTATCTAACAAGTCTAATACGAAAATTTATGTATTTCCGTCTTACTTGACAACACGTAAAAAATATTCTAGTTGAACAATCGTATTGAAATTTCTCTCGTCTGATATATTTTTTTCAATAATTTGTTTAAACTCTGCATTATTTATTTGTTAATAGCATTGTACGATAAATAATGTCATGTCAAACCGATTGTTACTAAACCAAAGATCATTTTCTCAAATTCAAAGAGAGAATAAAACTATAAAAGATGAGTTTGTTACCATGAAAATAACGACCAAATTGAGTGAATGAAACGTAACCGAGGCGGGGTAAAGTCATCTTCAACAAAAGTTAAAACATGCATTGGGAGGGATGATCAAATTTGTCGGTGTAAATAGCAAGAGGCCCAAATCAATGTGGGCCAGCTCACAGCCGATACCACAAAAATGGCTAATGCGGATGTCGTTTCATGCGTACGACTCCGAAGCACATATGAGGTGTGACACGTGACTTGTTTGAATTTTTTCTGTCCTTCGCAATTGACTATTCGTAGTTGTCGAGTATGGTTTATATAAAACGAATTTATCGTCATGTGATGTTTTTGGTGTAATAATATATATATATATATATTTATATATATATTTTTTATTGTAAATTTTTCTTCACGTGACAATAGCTTTTTAGATCTGAACCAAAAAAAAAAAAAAAAAAAAAACTATTTATAAATATTTTTATTTAAAACGACCATTGCTAAATCGCCAAATTTAGTGGAAATTGGGATTATGTTGCGATCTTCAATAATTGTGGACAAGTATTTTGCAATGCAAGTTTCGTCTTGAATCTATTTCTTTTTTATTTACATTTCTTGCCCCACAATCAATGCTTATGCTTTGGATTCAATAGTTATATCAAAATGATTAAACCAATGGGGAAAAAGAAAGAAATGGCATCAATTTTTCATCATATTTGCCTATCATTTATGTTCTAGATGATTTATTATTTAGCATTTTTTAAACAAATTAATTATTGACCTTAAATGATAATTGCTTCCATGGTAATTATGAAATATTTGTATTTATTTTTATATGACTATATTCTATTTCAGCGGATTTCAAGTGAACTCCCGGTGGTAGGTATCATTTTTGGTATTCGTGATATGGTTTGACGGTTGAAGTCTATGGTGTTTTGTTTTACTTCTTGCATATGCAATTAAACGACACATGTGGTCGCGTTTTATATAGTTAGACAATCATGTCTTATACATTGTAAAATCTTTTTATTTAATACTACCATTCCCAATTCATAATATAAAATCTCACACTGATGAAAAAAAAAAAATACTGAACGCACAATAATTGTGAAAAAAATTAAACTAGTAATAGTTAAACATCGAATTTACTGTCTAAATTGGTAGGTCGAATATGTGACGAGAACCTGACACAGCCAACGACCTTTTACGACCGTAAAGAAGCACAAGAAGCGACGAAGGTAGCACTGCGAGCTGGACCCCACAGGCCCAACGCACTCTCTATATCTCTGACTCACCAACATAAAAGGGAATGAGGATCCTCCAAGCACACTACATCGTGTGATCTATTTTTATCAAGTATTATTTATATTTAATTTTAAATAAAAAAATTTACCATAATTTTTAACTGCACCATAAAAGTAAACTTACCCGATTATTTCTCTTTATTAAAATAAAATAAAACAATCATTCAAAAAATAAATAAATAAAAGCGTTTTGGGTTTCTCTTCCTCGCGTTATCCTCACCCCCGTTTTTATATAAACCCTACTCTCCCTCTGCTCGTCTCTAGTAGTCAAATTTTCACAATTCAGACGCCAATTGGTCCAATTCTCTCTCAATTTCTCCGATTTCGTTCTGTCTGATTGCTTTCCGAAACCCTAATCCCCAATTCGAAGGTTTCCCCTCGCGGATCTCCCTCCAATTGGCTCCACTTTCACCCTCTGCAAGTGCAACCGCTAAAAATGGAAATTTTAGTCCATTGAAAATGGAACATTAGGGTTAGGTCGTCAGTGGGTGGGTGTGTGTGTTTTGCGTCGTTGTGGTGACGGTGTTTGGTGGCCATGGCTGCTTTGCAGAGAGTGGCGCAGTCAAGCGTGAGCACTACTGCGAGTAGTTATGGTTCGTGTAAAGCCAGTGGTGGTGTTTTGTCACCGTCTGCCGGCATTGAAATGGCAGTCCCCGATCAGTTTCCGGTGGGCTTGAGGGTTCTAGTGGTGGACGATGACACCACGTGCTTGAGGATTCTTGAGCTGATGCTCCTCCGGTGTCTGTACCAGGGTATGCCATTGAACTTCTAGTTTCTCAGTGATTGGTTATGCTTATGTTTATGCTTTATTTGCGTTTAGTGTAGAAAAAACAAGTTATTATCTCAAATATTAAGAATTATTTCAGTATTTTTATCGTTTGTGTAAGATCAGGAAGAAATTATTATTTTTGTTTCAGGTCTGTATTGTATATGGATCAGTTGCAGGACTAATCTATAAGAAATTGAACATATATATATGTATGTATTAACCGGGTAATTTTATTATGGAGATTCCAAGCAGCTGGATTAATCAGTTGTTGTAGTCTGTAAATCTCTGTCTCAAATGCGAAATGTGGAATTTGAGAATTGAGACAAAGTAAGCAGTAGGTGCGTAAATAGCCAATAAGCATACGCTTCTTTGTTACTTGAATTATGACCTTTCGACGATCAACTTGACCTGTTTTAGTTGTTCTCATGGTTCTGTTGGTTCGTTAATCTAATTAGAAAGCCTTTGTGCTTAATTTATCATATTAGGAAAGTACGATAAACCTATTTATTTAGGCCAGCTTGTGGAAGTGCTGTTCATTGTGTATTTAACAAGCAAACAATGTCTAGATAGCTGAATTATGTAATGTAGGAGCAGAGTAAAGCTCTGTAACTTTTGTTATTTTCTTTACCCTTTTGTTTTATTGCTGGCAGTTACCACTTGTTCCGAGGCTACTGTTGCTTTGAATCTTCTACGAGAGAGAAAAGACTGTTTTGATGTCGTACTGAGTGATGTCCATATGCCTGATATGGATGGATTTAAACTCCTGGAACACGTTGGACTGGAAATGGACCTTCCTGTTATCAGTGAGTATATAGATTTTAATTTCTTCAATGGTAGTCAAATTATGCCTTATGTGTATTAACATGACGGTGTATTATTCAGTGATGTCTGCTGATGGGAGAACAAGTGTTGTTATGAGAGGAATTAGACATGGGGCCTGTGATTTTTTAATTAAGCCTATAAGTGAGGCAGAACTCAAGAATATTTGGCAGCATGTTATTAGGAAAAAATGGAATGGGAGTAAAGAACTTGAACATTCTGGGAGCTTGGAAGATAATGATCCACATAAACAAGGAAACAATGATTTTGAATACACATCTTCTGTTAACGAAGGAACAGAAGTTTCATTGAAAGGTCATAAGAAGAGGATCAACGCTAAAGAAGATGATGATGGTGATACAGAAAACGATGATTTGTCTACATCGAAGAAACCTCGTGTAGTATGGTCAGTTGAACTCCATCAGCAATTTGTCACTGCTGTGAACCAGCTTGGCCTTGATAGTATGATCTTTAACTTTTAACTTTTTATTTTGATATACACATATTATTGTAAGGTGTACCCGGCGTACATTTCTTGACATCATAATGTGACTGCTCAACCCGGCTTTCTGTTACTGACAGAACTTTTTGTAATATTTCAGAGGCTGTACCAAAGAGAATTCTTGAATTGATGAATGTACCCGGTTTAACTCGAGAAAATGTTGCTAGCCATTTGCAGGTATAGTGCTTCCCCTCATATTGATAGCTTAGCTTGCTTTCATCTTGTTGTCTTTGTCACGGACAAGAATGAGTGAATGACACAAAACAGATGCATTTAAGAATTCAATGCATAAATAATATGTGATAATCAATACTGTAACTACAATTATGCATCACGCTTGAACTTGATTCAAAATCATCAGTTTATTTTAAAAACCTAACTTGAATTATGACAACAGTAATATTTTCGACATGCACATGGGTCTAATAATGAGTTGTGAATCAGATTTAGAGTATTTTACATTAGCTTTTCTATTTCAGATATCCATTGTGGGATGAGCACATATTTTTTTCAAAAGAAATTTAGAATTGTGTTTTCTTGCATTTACATTCCGGTGATCTTTTTATATGCATACAATATACTTGAGTTCTTCATTTGTTTTCCAACCAGAATTATTTGCTTATAAGAATTAAGTGGTTGTGCAGAAATTCAGGTTATATTTGAAGAGATTAAGTGGAGTAGCTCAACAACAAAGTGGGATTGCAAATCCTTTTTGTGGGCCCATGGACTCAAATGGGAAGTTGGGTTCGCTTAGTAGATTTGACTTCCAAGCTTTGGCTGCCTCTGGACAAATTCCTCCGCAAACACTAGCCGCCCTGCAAGCTGAGCTTTTAGGTCAACCTGCAGGGAACCTTGTGCCAGCAATGGATCAGCCTGCACTTCTACAGGCATCCCTACAAGCACCCAAGCGCCCCCCTGTTGAACATGGTGTGCCATTCATGCAGCCTTTTGCAAAAAGCCAATCAAACGTTTCCAAACATTTTCCACAATCCGTCATTTCTGCTGAGGATGCTTCTCTGGGATTTGGACAATGGAGGTCTAATAGTTGTAGTGCAGTGGCACCCAGCAATGATCATGGAGGGTTGAGTACTCAGAATAGTAACTTGTTGATGGGCATTGTGCAGCAGGAGCAAAGACAACATAAAAGAACGCAGCAGCAGCCTGTGCTAACCGAACCTAGCCGTACGTTTAATGTGCAGCCATCTTGCCTTGTGGTCCCCTCTCAATCATCAACTGGTTTCCAGGCTGGAAATAGTCCTGCTTCTGTTAATCAGAGTAGTAGCTTTAACAGGTCAACTGTTATTGATTACAGTCTGCTTTCAGATCAATCTAATAATTCCTTGAGTGTTGGACATATACCGACTGGAAATCTTAAAACTAGTGTCACTCTTGGTGGGTACTCTGGCCCTGGTTCTATTTGTGCCACGTCTTGCTTAGTTAATGCTGTCAATAGCACCAGTTACCAGAACTCAACTGCGACATTGAGTGATTCCAGAGAGTTGCCGGGGTCTTTGCATAATACGGCAAACAGCCAGGGTTTTTATGTTGATAAGTCAGGGGAAATGCTTGATCAGGGACCCCTTAGGAGTCTTGGATTTGTTGGTAAAGAGACTTGCATTCCAAGTCGATTTGCAGTGGATGATTTTGAATCGCAAATGAGCAACTTGAACCCTGGAAGGATCCATGTGGAGAGCAGTGGTACCCTAGTCAAGCAGGAGCCAAGTGAGGATTATGTGTATAACGCAAAACTAGGTATCCCAATATTACACCAATATTCTTCAAGTGATTTCATGAGTCCTTTCGCTGATTAGGTAACTATTGTCTTGGTATTATTCTAATTTTATTACTCTCTATATCACCAACATGTGCATAAGGGTGTGTGCGTCTGTGTCTTAGCTATTAGTAGTTCTTTGCTCGTCGATACTAGTATCTGAGAACCACAAGCTTGTAGATATCGTTATGTAATTCTCATTTTCATTTGCAACAGGCTTTCATTTTCAAGTCTCTTGATTTCCATGACGCGTACAGATTATTTCACACTATCAAAATGTTCAGTAGAGATTGCAGTTGAAGTATGTGTATTATATTCCTATGATTAGATCCAATATATGTGCCTGCACCGGACTCAGATGCAGAGCGGCCTCTTGCATCCGAGACTCGAAAAATTGAGGACAAATGTGGGGGGCAGGTTCACTTTCATTCAGTTTAGTGTTAATATTGGTCCGGAGGCAAATACATTGTGTTTAAGACTCCAGCAGCTTGGCATCTTGCCCGACATAGTTTTGTAGTTAATTGGATCAGGTTATGTTGGAATATGACTCGCAAGTCATGAATTTGTAGTATATATTTACTTATCTATAAATTGCCCAATCTTGTAAATGTAGTTTGGTTCAAACATTTTCAGCTTAGTTTGCATTCTTCACCGGCGCTTGCCGGATGTGCAACTCATCCCGCCTCGCAGGTAACGAGTTGGTATTTACTGATCACGTGACGCTGACGAAATTTTTCTTTGTCAACAGTCAAACATATTAGTAGTTTCTTTTACATGTCTGGTCACGTGAGGCTGTCACGAAATCTCTCGCGATTAATGCACAGTCGAATCTTTATAAATGAACAATGTGGAGACGAAAATAAATTATTATTTTAGAGAGGTAAATGAATAATTTATTAATAAATAAATATTTAGTTTACAAAGAATTTTAGGATCTATTTGATATCCTATTTGAAATTTTTTATCATTTCTCAAAACATTTCTTAAGAATATTTCTTGAAAATAATTTTCTTTAAAACTCAAAAACTTGATTGGTTTGCGATTTAAAATTTTTAAATCTTACAACTTAAACTAGACAAAGAGATCTAAAAAGAGGGGGTTGCAGGAAAGGGAGAAAGAGGAGAGAAAATGAAAGAAAGTAAGAGATGATTGAAAGAAAGAGAAAGAAGAGAGATGATTGGACGAGATAGAGAGGAAGATGAGTGAGAGAAAGAACCGAGAGAATGAAAATAGAGGATTAGAGAAGAGACGAAAAAGGTAAAAAGAAAAAAAAAGCAGGAGAAAGAAAGAAGAAAAGAGAGATAGATTTGGACTAAGATGGGAGGAGGGAGAGAAAAAAAAAGTGAGTTTAAGTTTAAAAACTCTAAAAATTCAATTTTTATGTTATTAGAGAATATATTATATTTTTGAGTTAGCCTTGAATTCAGCTTTTCAAAATAGTCTTGTCAAATAAGTTTTTAATGCCAAAACTTGAAAATTGATTTTGAGTTTAAAAAGTTAGATTCAAGTAGAGTACCAAACAGATCCTAATATTTTATTCGATTTTGTCTTTTTGTCTTTTTTTTTTTTTTTTTGTTGTTGTGATAAGAAACAAAAATATTTTTGTTTTTAGGTTTTAAACTTCAAAGATAATTTGAGAACAAGCAGAGGAAGTAATTTAAAAATTAATCTCCTAAAAGATGAAGTATTTCATGATATTTTATGCACGTGGAAAATAATCTCTTTACATATAAGTAATCTCATGGGCTCTTAATCATTATAACTATTATGCTTCTCCATGTCGTCTTATTTGAAAGAAATAAAGAACCTGCATTAACCGATGAGAGAAAAAAACATTCGATGAGATAAAAAAGCATTGTGCGTGTACAAAAGTGAGCATCCCTCTTTTAATAAGAAAGGAATTGCAACAATGGGTTACAACAAAAGTATCCTCTCTCTATCAACCAATCCACAATATCAAACGCTCTTAAAGGGTCGGCACAATATTTATCAGATGAGATGAAGAATAACAATGTAAAGACGCAGAGACTAGCAAAATATGCCGAGTGACAAAAATTATGTTCGAATGGTTTACAAAAATAGCAAATTATACAGCCACTCGTCGATGACTGCGACGGACAAACCTTTTGGCTGCTGAGTTACCAAAAAAGAAGCAATAAAAAAAAGACTAATTTGGCTGCATATCAAATTCGAGTGGTTCCTGGGCCAAGTTGTTTCTTCCACACTTTTTGCTGTCTGTTTTGAACCAAATTCATGACTCAATAGCGACGAACCAGTATTTTGCCCCACCCCCTCCTCCTTTCCTTACTTCTCCCTCCGTTGTTTAGTCCCCTTTGTCCGAAGGAGAGCAGAGAGTCCGTTTCGTCAACGCAACACTCTCTCTCTCTCTCTTCCAATCCCAGAAACAAAGCAAGTCTCAGAAACCAAAAAATGGAGAAAACCCAAGAAATTGCTCTGACTGAGATGAAGAAATCAGTGCAAAAGCTTGGATCTTCCACTGAGGTAAGAGTAAATTGCAATGCTTTCGCAGACAGTGTAGAGTAGAAGTCATTCCCTTTCGTACTTCTTATTAATCCATGGTTTTTTTGTTGGCAGAAGTTTGGAGACCCAACACTCATGAGGTTCTTGATTGCGAGATCAATGGACTCGGACAAAGCAGCGAAGATGTTTGTTCAGTGGCACAAATGGAGGGATTCGTTTGTTCCAAATGGGTTCGTCTCGGACGCCGAAGTGAAGGATGAATTGGACGACAGAAAGATCTTCTTGCAGGGTTTGTCCAAGGACGGGTACCCTGTCATGGTGATTAAAGCAAGCAAGCATTTTCCTTCCAAGGACCAGCTCCAATTCAAGAGTAATTATCTGTGTCTAGTTTTCTATTATTTCATCAATTTTTGGTGTTATATCACTCTTTAGAATGCAATTGGAGAGAAGTTCAAATATAAAGAGGTTTGGCCTGTCTTTTGCTCCAGCGTTTTTAATTCCCCATAGTCATAGATTAAAGTAGTTTAAACTATTAAGGAAAAAGGACTTTTATCCAAAATGATCTTGTGATTGCATTACTCTTCATCTTGGTCCTGAGATTTAAAATCGATAGAAGTGGTTCTTGAGATTGTCCACTGTCAATCAATCATTTTGGTCATTTTGTAAGAAATCTCCGTGAGTTTATTTTTGTCAAATCAACCTCTCACCTTAAATTGGTGATTTCTTCAATTTAACAGAGATTTTTCACACAATGACCAAAATAATTGACAGTGGACAATTTCAAAAACCACTTTTATCGATTTTAAATCTCAACAATCTCAGGACCATTTTAGCTAAAAAGCCAAGAAAGAATGACTTGTTGAGTGTGACTTGATCCACTAGCATTGTTGAGTGTGACTTGATCCACTAGCACTTTTTATTTTTGGCTCTTAAACATATATCCACTAGGACTTTATCAACTGGATAGTGGGGACTAATAGGTTTAATCCCACAATGCAGACTGCATAGGCAAATCAGTATTTTAATTCTATTTTTCACTAGAAGTAAAGTAATTGGTGAATTATGGATTCACTTTAGATCATCTCTTGTTGCAGAATTTGTGGTTCATCTGCTTGACAAAACAATTGCAAGGTACCTCTCAACTTTGCTAATATTGAAATGTCTATTCAACAATTCCGAATTTAACTGCTGAATGTGCACACAAGAATCCAAGAGAATTTAGCGGGTGGATTCGAGCTGCCAATGAATTGAAATGTCAATTCAAATCCTCAAAAAGGGTAACCCTTTGATGAGTGCTTGAAATGTCTATTCAAAGCAATTTAGGTACCTCTCAATATTGAAATGTCTGTTCAAAACATCGAAAGAGTAAGCACCTGCCTTCACATGAGGTTCTTGGAAGCATGATTGGATTTAGCAAGAATACATGTGGTACGCAGGATTATGATTCTTTAGAGACAGTACATGATAGGGCTTGCCTTAGCTATTCTGGTTTATGAAAACACTGGTCGCATAAATCGAATAGTGCCCATGCTTCTTTCAGTCTGAGAAATGTCACTAGTATACATGTTCTCCCAGTGTCAATGCTGTGAATTTGTTAACAGTAGAATTAGATGTTACATGAGATGCATATTTTCTGTTGATGCTGTAACCCTCAAATCCATCGATCGATGGAAGACTGTTTAGCTCTTTCAGGATATCTCAACATTTTGCCTTTTGTTTTGCTTGTCTAGCTCTTTCAGGGGAAAGGAAATTGGAAATGAAAAGATGATCGGCATTCTTGATTTGCAACAAATTTCATACAAAAATATTGATGCACGTGGTTAATCACTGGATTTCAATTTCTACAGGTGATTCTAATATTTCAATTTCAGCTTTTAAAAGCACTTCCATATGAGCCCTAAGATGGCATGGCTGCAGGCTTAGTGTAGTGTACAGTCCTAATAAGTGAACTATACAAGTTCAAGCAATTGTATTCAATGACTTCAAATTTCTTTTGAAGCTGATGTAGCTGTCGTCTTTCGTTTTTCATCTTCCTACCAGCTATTGACCATGCATAACTAAATGACGATTTCAAGCTTCTGGTGTAAATGTGATAGAATCCCTCCATGAAGATTGTGGTGCTATTTTAATAGCAAATGCAAAACATGTACTAGAAGAAGCCCCTGGTCTAGCGAGAGCATTTCCTCGCTATACATGAATTGTTGCTTAATCGCTTTGTATTCTTTTAAATGTGCAGTCTTACTACCCCGAGCGATTAGCAAAGTGCTTCATCTTAAACATGCCATGGTTTTTTGTAAGTGTCTGGAGGATGGTTTCTCGCTTCCTTGAGAAGGCAACACAAGAAAAGGTATGTTGTATTTCCATTTTTGATAATATGAATGAGTATTCTATAAAAATATGAAATTTTGGTACCTCTATGTAATCAAGGTGGTGCAACAATCTGGATGAAGTTGGTATATTATGAATTGTTTCGTTGTTTCTGAACGTAGAAGAATGGTAATTTAAAAGCATTTGCTGTTATCTTAGTTTGTGATCGTGACTGCAGGTTGTGATTGTGACCAGTGAGGAAGAAACAAAAAACTTCATCCGGGAAATCGGTGAAGAAACCTTGCCAGAAGAATATGGAGGACGAGCAAAGCTTGTACCTCTCCAAGATGTTATACTGGCACCATTGGAGGATTGATTCGACAATCACATCAAGATTGGGGGCTGCTCTCGCAGTCCGATATTCTAGGCAGACTTTGTACTGTTAACCCGCTATACATGCTCTCAAACATAACCGTTGGTAGGCAGTTTCGGCCTGGTTCTCTTTGTCATGAGTAGTAATATGTTGGCATGTATAAGGGCTTCCTTCTCATACTCTTATGTAATGTAAACAAAGAAGAAGGGTTCTCCATCTAAAAGATGATGAATTCGGTTCAAAACCCATAAGGGTGCGTTTGTTGCACTCGACTATCTCGGACTGAACTAGTTTCAAAGATTAAGCTGGACTGACTTAGACTAGACTAAGTTGTATTGATTTAGTGAAGCGTTTGGTGCAGTGTCGGACTAAGAAGATGAATAATTAAAAAAAAAAAAAAAAAAAGGGAAAAACCACCGGTGATATGTAAAAAAAAATTCATGTTATTTGCTTCAACTTCAATTTCAACCAACATC